TCCTCAGTGATGACTCTCTATCTGTGCGTTTGTGGGTGTGGGTGTGCGTCTGTGTGTGTGTGTGTGTGTGTGCTCTGTTAGTGTGTTGGGGGGAAGGGGTTGGGTGTGTTTGTGCTTGGGTGTGTGCGTGCTTCATCATTTGTCCTTTTGTTGCTTTCGTTCACTTTTGCACGGTGCGTCTAGATGTGTGTGTGTGTGTGTGTGTGTGTGTGTGTGTGTGTGTGTGTGTGTGTGTGTGTGTGTGTGTGTGTGTGTGTGTGTGTGTGTGTGTTTATGCTATCAATGTGTATGGGCTTAGTGATGACTGTGATGACTGTGTGTGTTTGTGTGTGTGTGTGTGTGTGTGTGTGTGTGTGTGTGTGTGTGTGTGTGGCCTTCGTCTGCACATCGTCCAGGTGGGTTCGACCGCCGTTCACCCCTACCGTTTTGATGTACATGTATAACCTGCGAGTTCTTCTGAAGGGATCAGATTGGAAAGGGATATGAGCCATCTGGCTGCTTTCCTCTCTCTGCTTCTGTTTCTTTGTTTCATTGTTTGCTTGTTTCTGTGCCTGTTTGTGGGCCTCATTGTTCTGTCGTCTTGGTTGTCATCCTCTGGTCCCTCCTCCACGAAGTATCCTTTGATGGCCAGTTCCCTCCTCCCTAGTTTCTCCAGCTTTTTGACTCGGGATGCCGTGAATGTACAGTAGTCTGAGCGTGAGCGTTGGCCTGCTCATCCCAGGTGTGTTTGTTTCTATCACTTGAAACACATTGTCTGTTTCGTCAACAGGTTGTTTTTCCTTGGTAGTATCAAGGATGGAGAGTATTTCAACCCCATTTCTTGCGTTGAGGTCATTGACACATCGCTCGTGTCACAATGAATCTTGAGACACCCACTTCCTAGCACAGGTGGAGATGGCGGCCCAGTCGCATCAAGCTTGTGCTTGTACCTTCATCAATTATGGACGTGGGAGTCGTCTGCTCCGTCCGCGTTCACTCTGGAGCACAGCCCCTCGGCTTCTGGCCTGTCCAATCTGCCTACGACGTCATCGAGCTGGCGGCAAGCAGAGAAACATTTGATACAGCAAGCATCAAGGACGATGGGTGCAGAGCCGACGCGCGTGCAACTGAATGCATGTGTTTGTTGGGCGGCTTACTTCGCTGATCGAAGAGACAGAGAATTGATATGTGCTGTCCTGTGGCGATCATTGACATGTTAGCTTGAGAGTGCACGCTCTGGGCAGAGGTGCTCATGCTTAGAATGGAAGGAATCGACGGGACATGGTAGCAAGCCAGGGGAAAACGATAGACCAGCAATGCTCGTCGGATATGGCTGTTTCCATGGTGCCATGGATTTCTCGCGGGAGTGGAGCTGCAATGGCTGTGAAAAATCGCACTTGGGCATTCCTGCAGAGTCCGGAGGTAAATTAGAACGATCTTCGCAGCCATGGGCGGGATCTGATTACTTCAGAGCAGGCGTTGAAACTGGTTTCCCTGCACGACAAACACACGGCTGCGGAGAGAGGGGGATATGGGTGTCGAGCGGCTCGTGTGGCTGTTGAACCCAAAAGAGTCGGCATTGCTCATCGAAGTAGAAAGAATTAGAAGGGAAAGCGAATCCTAGGAGAGGCAGCARCCCGAGCGAGTGCAAAGGTTTGATCGAAGGAGAGCAACCATAGCTGAAAGGCGAAGTAGCACACGAGCTGCTGGCTATGGCGGCAGCGGTCGCTGTTAGAGGTTGGCTACCGCAATTCGAGAAATGCAGCTTACTTTACAACGAGATCCATCGATCGGATCAGTTTCTTGTGGAAGAGTAGGGGTTTTAATTAAGAGTGGGTGTGAGAGAGCAGAAGCAACGCCGAGGTAGGGAGAGAGAAGGCGAGTCAAAGC